AATGTATATATACATTCATATATATATATGCATACGTAAATACACATACATTGTAAAAATATATATCTAACCGGATCTACTATGCTCTGTTATCTTAAATGTGAAGAGGGTTGAACCCATTTGAAGGATAGCACAGAAAACAATTGCAGTAACAGTAATAAAATAATCAGAGAATCATAACATTTACTGCACCTCTGTCCTCCAGAGGGTTGTTAGCCAGATTTATGGAGGCAAGTCCTGAGTTGGGGTTGTGGGCCAGGGCAGCAGCGAGCTTCTGGGCAAACTCTCTGTTGTTTGTGAAAGGATGTATTGATTGCATGAGTTTGGTAAACAGAAAACAGTTATATATACCAGGAAGGAATTGAACTAAAGTGATAAAGCTGAAATGAACAACATTAAATATTATTAAGTTATTCATGAAAACTCAATTGTACAGAAAATTAGTTTTCTTCAAATTAGTTTCATGATCTAAAAAAAAACCCAGGCTGCAATAAGCTAAGTCAGAGGGTACTCCATCATTGACCTGAAACAGAAATATGATTAATAAAATGTTTCCTTTACGTTTTGAGTCCTGCATTGTCCAACACTAGCTCCTCCAGTCGGCTGGATCGAGAAACCACCCGAAGAATCTGTTCGCACACGTCTGCAGACTAAAAGGACAAGAGACAAAACAATCACTGCTGTGATAACATAATTATATTAATTGAAAAAAAAAATACTTAGTTGCAAACTTGTGGGTACAATAGGGTCAGTCACTGGGTAAGTCCACCTTGTCCCCATTTAGTATCAACAGATTGTCCTTTTGTCTATTCTAGCTCCCGTTTTGCACACTTAAATAAACAAAACAAAACCGTTTTCCAGCCATGTGTTTAATCAATTGTGTATAAATATATTTTCATAAATTAGAGATAAATAACCTTATAAATGCTTAAATCTCATCTATCTGAATCCGAGCCACAATTTTTTTTCCTACTAATAGGTACAGTAGTAGAAATGTTTTAAAAGGTAAAAGACACCTATTATGTTGGAACCAATTAGCCTGGATAAAATACTTCTGTAATCAAACAAGATGGAAATGAAATGACCAAAATTCTTAGTCAGACCAACATTATTTATATGGCATCATCTCACAGTTGTGGGCAAAACTTTCATAAAATGGAATTAAAGTGATTCGAGCATTAAAATAAATAATCAATACACCCATTAAAACATTAACAATCAATGCAAAATTATTACTAAATAATAAACCAATCAATTAAAAGATAAAAAATGGCCCGAAATATAGTAAATATAACAGAATAAAAGCAGTTAGAATACAAATGAAGAGTAGGTTAACATAAATAAAACCTTTACCATGGCTGAACCTTAAAAATAAGCCATCTGTTTGGTCCAGATTTCTGAGGAAACATGAGCCGATGACTGGGAGTCCAGTAATCACAGCTGTGGATGTCTCCATCGATAATCTGACTGCACTTCTTTGAATCACTTGTTAAATGTTTGGGAGTTGAAAGGGCAGCAGCTAAAATAGAAAGTTAAATTTACTGCTTTTTGAATGAATGATATTCAGGAAAACCTGTTTTATATGAGAATCGAATCATGGAGGCCAAAATGATGCCATGAAGAACAGAAATAAAGTTTGAAAGTAAATACCTGTTACCATGTTTATGTAGCAGAGGCCTGGAAGCTTAAGAGTTTGCAGTATCTTAGATGTCCCTAGGACTCTGCCCTTCTGGACTGAAATGTTGATGTTCTTCCAGGTATCTGTTGAAGCAATTCTCCAGTGTGGTAGTGTGGGGGTCACTGCCCCCAGTGCTCTGATGATCATAGGTACTACAGCTGCCTTCACTTTTCAGTCTCTTTCTAGTTCTTCCCTGAGCTCTTGGTATTTCTACAGTTTCTTATGTCCTTTTTTTTTTTTTTTTTCCAAAAAAAAACTAAGAATTTGTTTTTACAAAAAATTATTTCTTCTAACTGCAGAAAATAACCCAAAACTAACCAAAACCAACCATTTACATTCTATAACCATACATATTTTTAAAACTTCCAGGAGTTTGGGGCTTTTTTTGTTAGATTTTACAAAATTTAAAAAAGATCAACCCAATCAGCTCTTAATATATCTTTATTATAAATAATTCTAAACTCATTCATCTTAATTACCCTTAGTTTTACGGCTCCCCTATGCTGTCAAAAATAAATAAATAAATAAAAATCTGAACTTGAGATTACTATTAGCCAGCAGAATCCCTCTGGTATTTGTTTACAAAAAGCCTTCCACAAAGTTTTGCCTGCCAAATAAAACTAAGCAGAAGATTGTGGAAAAGAAATTCTGTCCTCCACATAAAACCATTCATGTCAGACTAAAACACACCAGAGACATCAGACCAGATTAAGAGGAGTTTTTCCTCTCTTGTGTGATCTCAGCACAGCACAGAAAGCACCCATATTTAGACAAAATGAAAGATTCAACAGCTGAAACTCCACCTAGATGTTCACTGACCTACTTCACTGTGTGCTGCGTCATTGCCTGACATGCACTGTATGACGCATCAACATAGACTCAGAAAGAGTTTTTACAATAAACGCAAACAGTTTCCATTATGATGGCAGAACTTGCTGGAACGTTGTGTTATTATTCCTGATTAACAACATCAGCGCTACAAGGACTGCTTCTGTTGGCCTGCTGGCACAGACAGGAGAATCATTGTCTGACAGGACGCAGCAGCAAGGAGGAGAGAAAGTCAGGAGTGATACTAGGGGAAAGAGAGACAATGAGAGGACAACATGGAAGAAGGGGGCTTTTGTTCACTCAGCTATCTGGGAGAACCATGAGCATTAAAGCAGAAGGAGGGAAAGCAAAGTGGAAAAATATGAGAGCAGTGAGGGGTTAAAACATTTGAACAGAAAACACAAGAAGAGCGTTTATTCCACAGAAGCCTCAGCACAGTGACTGTCTGCATGTTTATTGTACCATTTACTATTCACTAAATACCAGTGTGGTCATGATTTGCTGTCCTGACCTGACTTCTAGTCACACAGCACATGCTTTCACACAAATCGTCCAATCATGAAGCAAGCAGAAGGCTAGTCCTCTTATCGCTGCAGTCCTCTCATCCTCCCGTCTTATCTCAATTTTGGCTCAACATCTTGATTATCCCACCAAGACTAATAGCCTGATTGAACTGAGGATGAGCAGCATAATCTTTTGCTGTAAAAACCTGTCGGGCATGGGTGGGTGTGTGTGTGTGTTTATCTAATCTACAGCACAGAATTTCCTTATCTGTTTGACCAAGGTGGTAAGACTGCAATTTAAAGCCTGCAGCTTTTGGATTTTGTTCATCTTCTAAACAACCCTTTCTCTCTCTTGAGGCTCTAGACATAAAGGTTCAGTTTTAGTTTTATTTAATAAAATATATTAGACGTTTTAACAGTAAACATATTAAGGCATGGTTTGATGGAGCTGAACCTTTGTAACCCTTCAGGGTTTTTCTTCTTTTCCAACATTTCCTTTTTCTATCAGACTTATTTCCTTATTCATCCTTCATCTTTTCCCCAGGCAGCACTTTTTGCCCTTTCGTCTCCATCCCTTCATGCATCTCCTTTTGATTTTTTATATGTGGACACAAAATTAAACAAGGTATGACATGTATATAATATGCTATTAACAAACAGGTAATGTTTATATCTAATATGATTTTAAGCTTTTTTCTGAAATGTTTTTAGTCAAATCTACAGAAAAAAAATCCCCAAAATCTATTTTTCATTAGACAAGTCTTTAAAAATGTAGAAACTATCCCTCCAATCTCACAGTCTCTAATATTCACAAAAGAATAAAGTTCTCTGACTACTTTAGACCTTTTGCAAGCATAAAAATTGAAATCTTTAATGAAAACCTAAAGCACATTAATGTGCTGCGGTTGGATTGATGGCAAAACGAAACATTTGGACATGAGGATCAGAAATAAAAGACTGGAAATGCAAATATTTGTCCACCCTATTTTTCTAATCAGTGAGAACTGGTCTACACTGCAAAGCATTGAAATCTTTTTCTTGAATTGAGGAGCTAATTGAGTCACTTTGCCCAATGGAACAATACAATTTATATTTCAAAGAAGAAAAAAACAAATTGCATTGTCTTATTTCAAGTGCATATTATCTAATTATCTTATTTTAAGAATAAAAATACTAATTCCATTGGCAAACCATCCTATTTACCTACTCAAATAAATACAGTTAATTTAATAATTTTTCATTTATTTCTACTGTAGATCGTTTTTGCAGCGTTATCTTGGATAAATCCACACGTTTTCCCAGACTGTTTAGGAACCCAGATAAAGCGAGCTGCATCACCTCTTCCCCACAGCAGAAGTCAACTTAAAACAGCTCTCTCTCTTGTTTAATATTTAGCCAAAGATATGTAACTAGTGCATTAATAAAAGTAGTAATAACTGAACTTTATTGATCTCAGATTGGAGAAATTTACCTCTGCATTTTAACCCATCCCCTTGAGGAGCAGTGGGCTGCCATCATGGGGCGCACGGGGAGAAATTGGGGGTTGAAGGTCTTGTTCAGAGACCCAGAGTGGCAGTCTGTGGGAGTGGGTTTCAAACTCAAAACCTGCATTCATAACCGTTTAAGTTGTTTTTATTAACTTAAACCATGCAAGGCACACTAATAGCATAAACTGACCTTTTGTCAATTATCCTCAACAGAACAGTTGAAGCAGTGATAGCCGCAGTGATCTGGGCACCATGTTGCTTGATAGCCAGTATGCAATTTACATTAGCTTTAAGGAAGGCTTTAGGAAGGGAGAGCTGAATTGGTAAGAAAGAATAAAAAATATAAAAAGTTTGAATAAAAAGGAGGAAGATTAGTTTTGATGAGCAACTTCTGTTTGTGTTTTTGGAAAACACAAGAGATCTGTTTTACCACTGAATCAAAACGCAACATTTGCACCACATCTAAATGAGAAACACCAATGCACGGTATTCCACAAAGCCTTAGTCAGACATACGCCTCCAAACATATGCATGCTCCTTCAATCTTTAAATGGCAAGCTGAGGAACTGGCTTTTAATTTTAATACTACAGGAAATATGCGTGACAGAGGCGCGAGGTAATTGTCTGGACAGAGGAAGCTGCGTGTGGTAATGTGTAAGACTGACAGAAGCTTGGGGATGCAGAGTTAGTAATGGAGTGCTGAACCACGGGTGGGAGGGGGGGCAACAGCCTGAGACATTAACCTCTTTGTCTCATTTGGATTAGGAGTCTTATCACACGAGAACATTGGACTGATCCTCTGTCAAAACACTGCAGGGGGAGAAATCCTAATACTCTCTGAAGACAGAATGATGTGGCTATGCAGACTATAAATAAGCATAAATTCATAGTAACGTGGAGAGTACCAACAGGCTAGAAAAGTGAGAAAAACATGAACAAAAAGCATGAAACTTTAGAATGAATCGCACTTTTTCTTCCAGTAAAAGTACATTTTACAATAAATCATGAGGAAAATAACTGGACCGCCAGCAGCCTCAGCTCTGTGTAGGAACAGCCTGACAGTACGAAGGACTTTAAAAAAACAACTTAGTGTTTTTAAAATGATGGCCTGAAGTAGGCAGATTCCATAACAGTTTCTTCCCCACTGCCATTAGACTGCTGAATGTTTTGTTAAATGGGTTATTGTATTGTATTACATTTGATCATTATATATATATATATAAAAAACCTGAAAATGTTAGAGCTGTAAATTTACAGTCATATGTTTATATTACTGTTTTTATGTATTTTTTTTTACTATTTTTCAAGGCTGCAGTCAAAAAAAATTCTAAAAAATGAAATTGTCCACAGATCTGTTCTAAACGAAATTTTTTTCAGTTTTACATTTGTGTAAACAAAATGACAAATAACTCTGTCTAAGTCTAAGTCTAAAGGGAAAAAAATTGGAGGCATACGTATGAAGGACCACTCTTGCCATAATAAAAAAGAATACATAAATAAATAAATGCTCCAAAAATAAATAAGCATACAATTAATTGCCCCCCAAAAATCCAATAAACAAATAAATATAGGTAGAAATGAAATATCTCTTTTAATTGGCTTCTTTGCTTGTTTGACCTTGTAATAATTACCTTATTTATTTAATGTCAGTTAATCTCATTAAACTTTTAAACCTTATTTAATTATTAGTTATGTTTTTAAGTATTTATTTTTGTGCATTTTATAATATTATTGTCTGGTTTATTCTTCCTTTGTATGTTTTACCCTATTTATTTGGTGTTTAGTGATAAGATTATGAAAAAAGTTTTTCTTGATGATTTTTCTTTAAATCTTTAGCTAAAGTCGTAATTAAAGTGGTTGTGAATAAATTGAAATGAGAAATATGCAGAGATGTCTGCTTGTGCTTCTTAGTGGCTCCCTTCAGAAGGAATATTTCATTCAATCTTCAGAGATTAAAAGACTGTCTGGTATAATATGAACCTGTCTAAAACTGAGTGTATCAATTTGCTACATGGGAGAAATGTTCTGCTGGTTTGCTATGTTTAGCAGCTTCTAGCAACAGGTGGGAGAGGGGGAATCCTGAATCACCTACGTAATGTCTAAGGAAAAAAATATTATGCTCTCCATTAATGACATTAAACAGGAAAAACATATATTTTTTTAGTTTTGCATGTGTTTTTTTTTGTTGTTGTTGTTTTTTTTAAGTTTAAGTAATACTGACCAGTTTGTAATCCTTGGTAGATAGCTTGGTGAACCACTGGTTGAATTCCAGAACCGCTATTATAGCCACAAGATCCCTGATGACACAGAGGAGAAGATAGGTCAGTCTTCTCACTAACAATATTCGCATGAGTGCTTCCGCTTATTTATGTTATTAATTATTTATCAAACTTCTCCAAAATACTTTTTTTATGTAATATCTAAAAAAACAAAAAAACAAAACATTGACCTGTTTTCTAGATGGCTGAAGTCCTGCAGGTTGAGCTCTCTGCTGTCTTGTGTCAAGTAGATGGTGTCAACATCCTAAAGGGGAAATGATCAAAAACACTGTATGCAGTTTGACGTTGCAGGTCTGATGCACAATTGTAGCAGCAGCCATCCTCACCCACTGCACTTCTTCTCTGTAAGGTAGTCCTAACCAGTCACACACACATCTGTACATCTGAGAGAACCCCCCTAGAGGCAGGAGCAGCGAAACACAAGGAAACAGGTAATCAAACTGTATGCAGGGACAGAAAAGCATCAACAGTAACAAGTGGGGATTTTAATTAGACAAATATGGATTTTTAAAGAAATAAATGTAAGAACAGACAGGATCCTACCACAGGGTCCCGGTTCAGTAAGCTTGTTGTTTTCCCACAAAGTCTGCAGGGAGCTCAGTCTGTCTGGAGGCTCCATGCAAAGCTTCTTCATCACTTTACTGACAAGAGAGAGGAAGCATTTAGTTATTCCATTTGGATGTAATGGAAGATGAAATCCTCCTTTAACTGTAGCTGAAATAGGAATCACTGAACTACTTCTGCTATGTTAAAATAAAGACAGATCTACTTTGCAATTTTCTCTCCCCCCACATGTATTATAACAAGGCTAAAAAACTCTAAATTCATCTCATAAAACCCACTTAATTATAACATTATTACTCAAATAAAAAAAAAATAAATAAAAAAAAGAAAACCCTTGTTTTAACACCAGAGATTTAGTTAAGAGGTCAGTTTAATTGACTACTGAGGTGAGATGTGAAATCCATGGTAAGATCCAAAGAGCTACGTGAGGCCTTCAGGAAGACAATTGAAGCTTCTCTGGAGCCTTTTAGGGGTCATAAGAGGTCTTCAGACCTTAAAACTTAATGTCTTTACATTAAGGACTTGAGGAAAAAAGACTATTGGACAGATAAGGTTAAGGCTACGTTCACACTGCAGTCTGAAGTGACCAAAATCCCATTTTATTTGCCCATATGTGACCTGTGTCTGATCTTTGGTGACAGTCTGAACAACAGAACAAAAAATTGTGTTAATTGATGCACTGGAAGAAATTAAAGATTGCAAATGTGCTCCAGCACTACCATTCATATTTACTTTCATAAAGACAGAGCATGCTTGCTTGTGTCGTCATTGCGTCCTCTACTGCGCATGCGGGACACTGAAGTTGTGTGCATGCAGTCAAGACAGGAGATCACATACAAGTCACGTATATTTGGAAAAGTGAACGGCAACGCAAAAGACTCGGATTTCACAAAAAAATAAAAAATCAGACTTAAGCATTGAGGCCTCCAGTGTGAACATATACTAAACTAACAATCTGACTGAAACAGAAGATTTATGATACAGACAGATCCAAACTGACCGAACTTACCTCGGGGGCAGACCAGGACATATCCTCAGCAGACAGTTTCCTATATGAGCAACCACATCATTCACCTCCTCTGTAGACGGCAGCTTCACTGAGAACGAGCCTCGCTCATATTCCACAAGTAGCTGAAAGCAGAAAATGACAATAAATGATCCACACAACCGGCAGTCAAATAACCTGCTCATAAAGGGGGCTTTGCCCTTCATGATTCAATGGTCTCTGCTTATTGTTGTTCGAAAGAAATCGTTTGAGTAAGACGAGCAAAAGCAAGATTCAACACGGATGGATTGGCTGTTAACATGTTTTTATCTTGATGTCTCTCTTTTTGCTGTTTGCATGTCAATATTCATGCTGCTTTTCAGGAGCTCATTGATACAATAGAAGACTTTATAACCTAACCACATCTGTTATTTATCAATGTTCAATGTAATTATGTAAATGATGATATGCATGCTTCCTCTGTGGACGATAATTACCATAATCCTCCTGGTGGGGACACAGGAGACCCTTGGTCCAAACATTCAGAGGACTTGCAGCCTAAATGAGCAGGATGGGGGTTCAGCTGCAGGAACAGAATAGTCTGTGACCAATCATCAGACTCTGAACCTTGGTTCTACTGACTGACAGCTTTTTGGCTCTAGTTAAATGCCTGAAGGGGCTTAGCCTAGATTTGTCTGCTTTTAATGAGTTCTAAGCATTATAGAAGGTTTCAGATAACGTAAGAAAATATCTCTGGATTTGTCCATTTTGTGTCCTCATTAAAAGTATTAAGTGATGATCCAGGTACTCTGGCTTCCTCCCACAGTCCAAAAACATGACTGTTAGGTTAATTGGCTTCTCTAAATTCTCCTTAGGTGTGAGTGTGTGTGTGAATGGTTCTCTCTGTGTTGCCATGTGATGGACTGGCAACCTGTCCTGGGTATACCCCGCCTCTCGCCCATTGACAGCTGGAGATAGGCACTAGCAACCCTAACGACCCCGCTTGGGATAAGCGTGATAGAAAACGGATGGATGGACATTAGAAGCACACAGCGTCAATTTTCTCATATCATGTAAAAGGTCAGTGAAAAATTCAAACATTAGACTGAGAGTTTAAAATTAGAATCAAGAAAAAGAAGATGTAGTAATTGTCCAATTTCTTTTTGGTAGTGCTTTTCCTTTGTATTTTTTTGTGTTAAGCTTCATTTTTTTATTTGCTGTACTTTTTTTTCTTTGCACCATGTTTATGTATTTGCAGTGCATTTGCACCTTTAACCCACTTACATATGTACAGTGCCTTTTGAAAATATTTGACCCCTTAAACTTTTTGACCTTTTGCCACTTTTCAGGCCTCAAAGATATAAAAATCATAATTCTTTGAGAAGATTCATCATGAAGTGGAATGAAATTTATTCAAAACTTTAACAAATAAAAAAACGGAAAAGTAGTGCGTGAAAAAAGAACTGGCCCCTTTACACTCTCCAGAAGTCCAGTGAGGATTTCTGAATGTTGACATCAATGACTGATAAATAAAATCCACCTGTGTGTAACCAAGGCTCTGTATAAATGCACCTGCTCTGTGATAGTCTCAGAGGTCAGAGATCATCATGAAGAACAAGGAATACACCAAACTTTCAGCTCAAACAGGGAGATCAAAGATTCAGCCAAGAGGCCCATGATCACTCTGGATGAACTGCAGTGCTCTACAGCTGAGGTGGGAGACTCTGCCCATAGGGCAACAATCAGTCATATAGTTCATCTTTCAGGAAAAAAGCTATTTCTGAAAGATATTTATAAAAAGTACTGTTTAAGGTTTGCCACAAGCCACCTAGGAGACACAGCAAACAGGTGGAAGAAGATGCTCTGGTCAGATAAAACTAAAATTGAACTATTTGGCAACAATGAAAACTTTTGTTTGGTATAAAAGCAACAGAGCTCATAAACCTGAACCCACCATCCCCACTGTTAAACATGGTGGTGGCAGCATTATAGTTTTGGCCTGCTTTACTTCAGCAGTGACAGGGTATCTGGTCAAAATGAAGGGAAGATGGATGGAACCAAAGACAGGAACATTCTGGAAGGAAACCTTTGGGTGTCTTCAAAAGACCTGAGACTGGAACAGAGATTTATCTTCCAACAAGAAATGATCCAAAACATAAAGCAAAATCTACAATTCAATTGTTTACAAATAAACATTTCCATGTGTTGGAATGCACAAATCAAAGTCCTGAATCTCAATGAGAATCTCTGGCATTGTCAGAGTTTACCAGGAGATTATGAATATATTAAAAAAACTAGAACTGGAAGTTATAGTTAATTAATAGGTCATTCAAATCAAGGGTAAAACTAATTAATTATCAGTTAAATGATTATAACTGTAATTTGCTTACTGACCAGGGCTTTTTAGCCTCTGACCTAAAAGGTTGGATTTCTGAATCCAGCTGTTAAAAATTCTATCATCTTTCACCAATTTATTAGTGAAAGATAATAGAATACAGGTAGTTTTCTGCACTAAATTACAGCCAGGAGCAAACTGAGTCTCCATAACGTAATAAAGTAGGTCAGTAATGAGGCTTTGTATGACTGAGATTGATAGAAATAAAATAAATGTGGTTCATAAATTTTTACTTATCTTTATAAATATAATTTATTTTCATGATTGTGTCCCGCTTGTTGATTCTTCATAAAAAAAAATTACAATTTAATTTTGTTTTTCAATCTCTCTATATTTTAATCCCGAAATGTGGTAAAAGGTATATTTTACATTCTGCATATTCTCTTTACCTCCATATGACACAGCAGATTTTGCACATAGAAGATAACACAAGAACAATGAAAAAGGTTTCACTTTTACTTAAATTATTCTGGTTTAAGTCTGGTGCTTTTCCCATAAAAAAAATCCTTGTTTTTCATACAGTAAATTTATTAGAGGTAGCAACAGTAGTGATAAGTTGCACCTAAGAAAGAGCAGCAATACTTCAAAAGAAACTTAATCAGGTAGAAGTAAAACATTTTGTGATGTAGGAATACTTGGAGAAATATATTTTGTTAAAAAACCCTGAAGTAAATGTAAACCCTACCTCTGATAGTAAGGCACACTAGACAGGGTCAGCTTGGCTTTAACCCAATTTTAAGAGACTTCCATTACCTCTCATACTTAAGTTTATTTTTTTTTTGTGTGTAAAGTTTCCCTATGGAAGTATGTAATGTCCAGTACCTGTGTTGGTTTGCTGCAGGAAATTCCTTGGATCTCCAGATAATTAAAGGAGTGCTCTACCTAAAAAAAAGGAAGGGGAAAAAAAAGCTGTATTATCAAAGAAATGTGCACAGAAACAGAATCTGATCAGTTTATTTTCTGCAAAATGTGATCATCTTTACCTACCAAGTTCAACCAGTAATCTCTTTAATAGACTTAACACTTAGGGATTCGCTTTCATGAATAATCATAACAATCTTCCACAGTTTATAATTTCTCAGGTATAGCAATTTCCAAGCAAAAAAGGGGTAAATCACTCCTGCATTGTCATGTTTAATTTGAATTTAAACAGGGCATTTTAGGACAAAGAAGAAAGCAGAGAAAACCACATGGCTCATCATCCCATGTCTACGGAGAGACCAAAATAAGTATTTTCATGTGAGATGCATCCTGCTCACATTCATAATGAGCACAGTTTTCCATTGCTTCTTCCTCTTTTAGAAATGCAAACATTGGAGAGCCTGAGGGCAGGCTAGGCGGCGAGGCCAGACTATTCCAGGTGGGAGCTCTGTTTCTGAGGCTTGGCTTAGAGATGAGAGGGAGGAAGAGAATAAGCCGTTTCTCTACTGTCTGACTTAACAGTACGGATTGAGTTTTTGTGTCTTTTAGCAATCCTCTAACCACATACATACATACATACAAGCTTCAATGATCTCTCCTAAAAGATTAAATTAATAAGTACAAAAAACAAAGGTTACAAAAATTTAATCCTTGGACATAAACAAGTCTATGATAAAGAGACAAAAAAAGACCGTATTTAAACAGTTTGAAATAAAAACAATGGAGGAATTCTACTTCCATAATTATTATAATTTATGCATACCTCTTGTTTCTTTGTCACAGTCTGTTTCGCACCAGCAGGAGCTTTAAACCTGCTCCTATTTACATTGTCGATACAAGGTTTAAATAAAAGGTCCCTGTAGAAATGAGCTAATCTCCTGGTTATCAATAAATCTACCTTGTGCTATGATCCTGCTACTTTGTGCTGCCCTGATAAATTGGATCCTTTGTATTAGTATAATGTTTCAGCTTTATTGGGAGAACACATTGACAGTTTCTACCAATGTCTTGTGATCAAACACTGTACTCTTCTGCTCCACAAAAGAATATAATTTAACAATTGTTTGATGCATATGGCACAATTGTACTTAATGCAAGTGTTTTTAAATGCTCATGGGTGAAGCTTTTGTTTTCATTGCTTTATGTGCAATTTAATCTACCTGTGATCTGATAGCAGGGCAGCTCTCTGGACAGGCTCAAGTCAATGTAGGGAAAATGTTAGCTAACCAGCGGCCAAGCTGTCCTACTGAGAGATATATGGAAGAACCAAATGCTGTTCAATCAGTCGTTCACTGTCCATATGTCAGCTTATTTGCTCATCTTTTCATTTTCCTTGTGTTTTCATAATGTAGAATGACTGGTTGTAATCAATTGTAACTAATCGCTTCAGGGAATTTTGAGTTTTATTTGAAGTATTTGTCACCTCAATATTTTTCAGCGTGTCTCCAATAAAAAAATAAGCATGGAATAAAAAATAATTCAGACTGAGTTGCTCAGCTATAAAAAGCATAAAAGAGTTTCTATGCATTTTTCATTTCAATATTTCCATACCTAGCCAGACTAATCTTTCACACATTGGACTATAAAAACAATGCCTAGGTGGGTTTATGTAACTTTATGTTAAATAAACACATAGACAGCTAATTGACAATGGATCAATATGGTTTTAATTTATTGAAATGTTAAATCAGCTCTACTACAAACGCCAAGAAACCAAAATATTATATTTAAAAAGTTTGAGTATGATTAAATTATAACACTAGATTCAGTTCTTCTAAGTTTGAAAAAAATATCAAGTTAAGATAATTCATTAAGTTCCATTAAGCTCCATCAGAAAAAGCCAAAAGCAAATTCCAGACTTTTCCAGACTGCATAGGAACCATTGTATAAAAACAAACAGGGGGAAAGGCAGGAGAAAGACATGAATGAATATGTGAGTGAGAATCAGCCTGTGTGAATGCTGTAGAGCAGTTAGGCCCTGGAGGTTTATACAAGAGGAGCCAAATGATCACTCCAAGAGGCTCACACAGGAAAACCAGCTGAGATGAGAATAAAAGAGCTACAGGCAGTTTTCAGCACTAAACTTACAGCCAGGAGCAAACTGAGTCTCCATAATGTAACAAAGTAGGTCAATAATGAGGCTTTGTATAACTAAGATTGATAGAAATAAAATAAAATGAATGCACTTTATATATTTTTATTGATCTTTGAAAGCCATGAACCCTACACAGAGTCTGCAGCTGAGGAAACAATGACCATCCACTTCAGATCTTATGACTTACAACTAATTCAAACCCCAACCAGTTTTTTTTTAAAATTACTATTATAGTTTGCATGTTCTCCATCTGCATGAATATGGCAGGCCGTCTGACAGTTGTTAGAAGCAGTGTCCTCTCTATTGTTCCATTTGTTGATCTCTAAAATAAGATTCTTCCTGGTCAAAAACTACATTCCTACTAGTCAGAACTGTACATATAGATATCCTAAATTACATTTTTGACAGCAAAGACATTTTTTTAGGATGCAAAAAATATAATAATACAAGTAGGAATAAACCTTCAAATATCTAGAAATCTTTACAAATTTTAAGTTGGTCTTTTTGACATTTATTAGCTTGACTGAATATGTAAGCTAGATGCATTTCTTCCTAGGCAAAATGTACATTTCAGATATCTAACATTCCTCCTATCTAAAATAAACATTTCAGATATTTGAAATGTAATTCTTACAAGTGCAAATGATGTCACATTTCTCATTTGTGCTTTTATTTTAGATAGCAGGAATACTATTAAAGATATCTGAAATGCATATGCGGTCAAGCAAATATATGTCAAAATGGCCATTTAAATAAAGATTTGTAGATATCGGAAATGTACAGTAGTTCTTACTAGTACAAATTTGAGTCCAGGTAGAATGCTTGAGTGCTATCTCTAATAGAAACTAAATTTTAGATGGGTATTATTAAAATTGAGATACCTGGAATTCTAATTTAACTAGTCATAAAAATAAGTAGTTGATATCTCAGAAATATATTGTTGATGTCAAGAATTGGATTTCTGGATTTCTGTAATGTTATATTCATATATTCATCACTCATTGATATCTGAAATAATAACTGTGATTATGGAGATCTGAAATTAGAGTTTATCCTCGTCAGAATAAATTTTTAGATAGGAAGAATGTTTATTTTAGGTAGGAACAGTCATTTTAGATATCTGGAAGTAAAAGCCCAATACACATGAATGGGAACCATTATATCACTTGCACTAGTAGGAATTACATTTCAGATATCTGAAATGTTTATTTTAGATAGAAAGAATGTTATTTTAGATATCATTACATTTTTATCATACATTTTGACTGGGAAGAAATGCATTGGAGACAAATGGATTACATATTGAGTCAAGCTAATAAATGTCTAAACGACCTGCCATACATGCATGGCATCCTGGTACGCTGGCTTCCTCCCAGTAAACATGACGGTTAGAATAACCAGTATCTCTGAACTGTCTTCAGGTAACATTGTTGTGTGCGTGATTTTTGTTGTTGATGTGTGCATCTCTAATAGTCTGATAAACCCCCCCAATATTTTCTTTAAATATGCCTTTATATTATAAGAAATAAAAAGACTACTTAACATGTTTTTGGCTATTAAAAAAAAAAAAGATCTAAAACAATGCACATGAAGATCACAAGATTTTATTTACAACCTACTGAGGCATTAAAATGGTCTTACTTTAAGAAAAAAGGATTTCTCTGACCTGCCAGCAGATTAGAGCTGAGCTCCTGTTCTTACCTTGGCTGGAATGCGTGCTGTTAGGAGGTAGGCGCGGTGAGTCGCAAGAGCCTAAGAGAACAGAGGGATTCGTGAGAGTGTTGCAGGAGATGGAAATAATTAGCAGCTTTAAGAACAAGAAAATGACAAGGAACTAAGGAATGTCCAGCTGACTCAGAGAGCTAAAGACACGTGACTTTAAGTGTTCTCTAGAAAACCAGAAAGGGCAAGAAGACAGGGTTTTACTCCACATTAAACCAGTAAGTGACCAGTAAGCTTTTTTCATCAATCTGATAAAATAAACAGCACTTCTTAGCGCAAAGCAGTTTTACATAACATTTTTAAGATAGAAGGTATATCCATCTAAACCAGATCGGGTTTTGTGTAAACAAATCAAAACACCCAAATAGTTGAATTTAAAGCTTTCAGAGGAAGACTTCCCCCTTCTTCAGAGAGCATCTGTAATAAGCAAACACATATCTTAGAGCCATAAAAACGAAAGAAAGCATGTGGACATAAATGTTTATAAATGACTTTTTCCAAGCCTTCCAGTTTGAGTAAAACATATTTAGTCTCCAGTTTTCAGCAACAGGAGTGGAGTTCTGCTGGTAAAAAAAACCTGTATGGAAGGCTGTAAATAATAGATAAATAAATCCTGAAAAAAAAAAAAAACGATCAAAGAGAAAAACAAAGTATAGTCAAAGGTACTGTAGTTTTATGAACAAACCAGAAAGCAAGAAAAACAGAAGAAAAATGAGGCAGAGAAGAGATTAAGGTGTTATGGGATTTAAAAAGTGCAGAAACTGACATTATTTCTAAAAGATGTGAAGGAATCAAACAGAAGTGTTTGAGATAAGGCTAAAAAAGGATGACAGTGCGTTCTAGCCCTCTGAGGGTCAGCTCCGCAGGCAGCCTTTGCATGTTTTGATATGATGGAGGCAGACAGGCAGCCCTGTATGGCCAAAGATAACCTCTTCTAAAGAGCAAGAGTCACGACGGGTTTGCTCAGCCTTTCCCCTCGCTGTACTCATTCTTATTCTGTGAATCTTACATGCTGCATGTTTGCAAGGACTTGGATTCTGTTCTTAATGCTGATAATATATAAATCTCAACACATTAATATTCAAATTAACTGCTCAATTAGTACAAATCGAACAAGCCCATTTGTACAGTAATTACATGTTTTCCACTTTTTTTCCATTTGACAGTGCAGTTAGCTGGTAGGTTGTCTCATATTTAGAAAAAGTGAAATAAATTACGTTTAATGAGAAAAATTAACATATGATATACAAAGCAGGTAAAATGTGTGTTTAAATGGAGTGGAAGATCAAATGCAAACTTTTTGGCATAGCTACCATCATATATAATGCAGATCCTATTCTTACGACCAAATTTATGGATGGCGGATATGCAAATCTAAATTTTAACCAACTGCAGAGCAATTTATCAAACAATTCAGTGATTGTGGGCAAAGTTTTAAAGTCAACATTTAGCACATTTGAAGGTCAGGTGCAGACTTGTTGGTAAAAATCTCTGCAGTCACTGTGGCCACAATTTTAACCATTCTTTCTCTTCTTATGATTTAACTTTTATTCCTAGCACTTTGAGATATTTATACAAATTTCGCCATTACTATTATTCAGCATTATCATCAATTTTAGTAATTATTATCATTATCAAACTGACAGCATCTCAATCTTAATTTACTCATTTAAAAAGGGCAAACCAAACCTACTTGCAGGTCAAATCTTTTGTAAATGTAATCTTTGTACATCACCAGCAATACCACCACATATTGCACATGCATTTTTTTTTTTTGCACCAAAAATGTTCTGCCTCTTATTTGGATTGCATTTAAACCTTGATCTTAATGTACAATGTCATGAGCGCCTCTATAGTAAACTCTTAACTGGTTTAACATTGTGTTTAATAAAGTAATAAAACATTCAATCAAGGCTAGAGACCAGTAACACCCCCCTCCCCCCAGGCAATATTCTTTGCCAGTCATCTCAAAAACTGAAAGCCATATATTGAACCATTACACATAGAGCGATACATGTTGCAATTATCCATTACTGTAAAAAATGTCTATAGCTGTATATTGGCTATTTATTCTCCAGGTGCACAGTTTTTTATATTGTTAATCACTTTACAGTACAGTCGTTTATCTTCACTATAATGTTATTCTTATATACTTTTCTAAGGTCCACATTTGTGTGAACATTTTTGTCTATAATCGTTTTGCTACTGTAAACACCAGAATTTCGCCATTGTGAGACAATTAAGGGATTTTCTATTCTATGCTATAAAAGGGGTAGAAAGATATAAGTAAATCTAAAGAACGTATGTATAGAAAATATATCACAATCCGTCCAGACCTCGGTGCCGTGCTATGATGTAATCGGCCTACAAATCAGGCCTTTGAAGGACGCATCCCATGAATTTGAATGCACCCCATAACCGGACATTCATGGTGTCACACATTAATCAGCAAATCAACTTGAAACACCTGTATGGACATGCTGATTCAGGACTTGGCACCTTCACACAGTACAAAAGGTACCAAAAGGTGGTTCAATGTCCACAATATTCCTTCTCTTAACAGGCTAGCAATCTCCCCTGACTTGAACACATAGCAAATGGCAGGACTGTTGAGAGGAAGGTGAGAGCCATCAGACCAAACAATGCAGATAACCTGAAGGCAGCTATCAAAGCAACTTGGGCTTCCATTACACCTAGAACATGCAGTACCACAGGCTGATGCCCTCTATGTCACATTGAGATGGTCCAACCAGTTCAGAATCCTAACATTTCTGCTTATAATGTCCTTAATTGATCGCTCTAATGTGTTATTCTAATTTTCTGGGATACTACATTTAGGTGGGGGGTTTTTTCCACCTGTAACCAATAATCAAAATTACAAGAAAGACAATCTTTAAATTTATAAACATTTGAAACTCTATGAAATGCCACTTTCTGAAATGAGTGGCGAAAATGATTCCACTTTATGTTATTCTATTTTTTAAATGTAGTTGTACAGTAGATATGAAAAATGTGTTGAAACTTCTCTAACAAGGCTTGCGGCTCTAAATCAAATGTTTATTCTTCACATTAAAAACTCAAAGTGTAGGCTTTTAACCTTGGTTTCATTTCGATAACATTAAAGTCTTTTATAATACACATTTTTCATTGATGAACTGGAGTTCTTAGTGTAAATGCTTTCATTGCAAAGCTCACAAAGTAGAACTGTTCCAACTGTTTAAGTGGAAATTTGTCTGTTTTTTGCATTGGAACCATACACTTCATTTTTTTCACAAAGCACTTATAGTTTAGGACATAATGTGAGGAAACCTGCACATCAGTGGATAAACCTTTAGAGTATCATTTGTTATATTCTAGTCTTGCATATCAGGTAAAGCAATACAGACAATCTGGAGCTTTCCTCTTTAACCCATTCAGATCCAAGAAAACTTCAGGCTGTGGGAAATTAATGATTTTATTGGATTCCTCTAGTTTTCCCAGCAGGAAGGAGGAAACTGTGTGCTTTTAAAAGGATGCTAAAAATGAGATCCGATAAAGAAGCTTTATCTCAAATAAAAAAATGCAGGGATTTTAAGATTATTGTAATTTTTACAAGAACACACATCATAAACTCCATCTGACTTTAATCAGTCTCAAACTAGTTTTCTTTTTTTTTGATTGAGACTGATTTGATTCACAAGCCCACTGGTTTGTAAATAGATTTAACAAACATTTATGATTACATTTGTAGACATCAAGTCAACAAGTAGACATAAGATCATGTAATATATTGCAAGCAGTTGATTTATTTCTTAAAATAACCTTAAAAACACCAGAAACTAACTTGCTGAAATGTTTTCTTTTCGGTGGATGAATTCACTCTGACTTCTCAGAGTTTTCCATAGTTTAGCAACACGCCGTCATCCAATCATGACTGCCCCACCGCCATCTTCCAGCACAGTGCGTTCCCCATCTGCCCTTTCAGAGAGACAAAGGCATGACCCCCCCTTCCTCCAGTCTATCTCCGCTCACTATCTTAAGTGGATTTAAGCCTTGAGCCTTCCATCCATCAGTGATTTCACGGCGACCAGCACTGCACCCTCAGCTACATGCACACAAACAGATGGCAGTAGCATTGGAGCATGTGTACGGCAGAGGAGAGCATCTGCCATTACTCCTACTCACTCACTGTAATACACACAATCTACCACACACTGGTGGCTTACATTCAAAAGTATTGCCACCAGCTGTACAGCACCATTTGTCTCGTCGCGCTGCCATGGAGAGCCAACACCAACACTGACACAGAGATGAACCGATTACTCAGCAGGTGATTGGAATCGGCTGATCATCGACTTGACTGGCGAACCAATGACCGATCAATCGAACTTTCAATAATAATGGAGAAAATGAAGAAGTATCAGTGGAGCTTTTACATGAATCTTCATAATAAAAATAGGGTTGCCCCAATATGAAAATCTGGGCCAATATCAAGATCCCTGTTAAAGTCAATAACCAATATTTAGTATACTCTATAATCTGGAGCCTGTAAAATAAAAACAGAAGATGGTTCTGGTGTTTACATGACTTACAGCTACAGCTAAACACACACATACTGCATCACTGTAAACATAACATAACCAAGCAGACAGCAAATGACCAATCCCTTCCTCCTCTTCTCTTAAAACAGGACGAAGTAATAAGAACATTGATCCAATATCCAGTTTTAATTATTGCACTGATAACTATATATTTAAAAATGCTGTTAATGCTGATATGATGTGCCTCTCTAACTAACAGCTGATGTTCCACACTAAAAGCTTATTGATAAAAGTATGTATGATTCATGCAGATATCAGCATTGGTCAAAACTCAAAGCTGCAATATTGGTATTGTATTAGAATTGAAAATAATGTATGAGGGCACCACTACTCTGGGGAGCGGTGGCCTATTGGTTAGGGCATTGCACTTGGATCCCAAAAGTTCTGAGTTCGAACCCCACTCCCACAGACTGCCACTTTGGGTCCAAAGTAACTTAACCCCACAGTGCT